ATATAACGTCATCACGATGTTATACTATCTTACCAATAAGCATGGCGGGGCAAATAGGTTGCATAAGAGATAAATGAGGGTTCCCATGTGAAGGCATACGAGGATCTGGCTAAGTACCTTCATAACATCAGAATCACTAACCTTGGATCCATAACGATTATTCAAATAGATGATCATGATATGTTTGAGCGTGTATTTATAGGCAATCATCCATGTTTGTATGGTTTTATGTATGGTTGCGAGCCACTGCCGGGACTAGATGGGACATTTTTGAAGGGAAGATACAAGAGGATACTTTGACTGCAGTTGAGGTCGATGCGAATGAAAATATATTTCCTATAACATATGCAATGGTTGAGAGTGAAAGTACACCAAGTTGAACTTGGTTTCTAGAGCTTCTCAATGAGCAATTTGACGAGAGGCTTAATTTGCTAACATAGATTATTATCTCAAATCATCAGAAAGGGTTACAAACTGCAATTAAAAAAGTATTCCCAACCAGTGAACAAGGTTATTATATGAATCACCTTACATATAACTTCAAAAAGGCCTCTAGAACTTCGGCGCTCACAATGCTTTATTGGAAAGTTGCACGTGCAATGTCTATATCAGACTTCGATGAGTGCATGACAAAGATTATGAATGCAAATGCTGAAGCCTATGGCAAGATCACGTTACAACATCTAAAGTATTAGGCAAACATATATTTTCGGGAGTGTAGATACTATCATATGACATCGAACATCTCTGAATCATATAATCGATGAATATTAAATGCTTGGAAGAAGTCCCTTACTAAACTCCTTAAATGCTTAAGGGTTAAGCTCATGGGAAAATTTTCAAAGAAGATGACTATGTATCGAGAATGGAGCGGTGTGCTTACACTGAAAGCCCAAGAGATAATAGACAAGAGGAGGGATAAGTCCAGATTCCTTCATACAGTCATATGGGCACATGATAGTATGTATGAAATCAATGAAGATAAGAAATATGTTGTTAATCTGGCTACACATACATGCAGTTGTCGGGTGTGGCAGGTTAGTGCGTTGCCGTGAAGTCATACGATTCCCACTATAGATCATAGGCATGAAGATGTTATAAAGTTTTGTGGTGTTTATTTCACAGTTCAAATGTACCATAGAGCATATTCCCTTCCCTTCAAACCAATGCCTGATGTACTAGAGTTGATAGATATTGTCTATACAACAGTAATGCTGTCACCTGCAAGGTGAACCTCCATTGCATTTTAAGGCCACTACAAAGTCCTCATGGATCATCATTAACAGTTCCAAAACACCAAATTTTTTTTACTAAATAGTGCACTTATACTACAGGTCACTGACTGGAGTAGGTGGGTACCAGAAAACCAACCAAATGATCCAGAACAAAAACAAAGATTGACTTAGTGTAGACTAGGAAAACAAGTTTCTCACTCAATAATTTTCCAAAACAAAGTAATAAAAAAAGAATCAAT